TTTTAGTTTTAAATAATAGTTCAATTTACAGAACTTGTTTACATTGAGAGAATAAAAAAACTATGAAGAACTAAACTATATTACAAAATTTAATAATGAAATTTCAGTTCAAAATAGAGAAAATAAATAATAATAAGGTATATTTATTGTATTACCTTGGAACCTAATAATAAATACAATTTATTTTTCCACTCATATTGATATTTAAATAATTTAAATCTAAATTCTGAACATTTTCTAAATTTTCATTGTATATCAGTTTTCTTTTAACAGATATTGCAAGCAAAATAATTTAAGTAAAAAGAGGAACATTTCTGAAATCAGAAGACAGAAATTTGCTTCATGCAGTCATCTTTAACAGTAAAAGGTTAACTAACCCGCACACTTGGAAATTGGCGAATATTCGGACAATCGAACGTAACTTGAAGGAGCGGATGGGGGGGTAAACTGTAGCCGCTCTTTATATTTTTCCGCTAAATAAATGCTTTTGACATTTCAATATGTGCATCATATAAAAATAAACCAACGACAGTAAAAAATATTCTGCTTAGCAAGCACAGTAAAACTCTTTTAAGTGTTCATAAACAAATCTCGGACTGAACATCAAAATTAATTATCTCTGCAAAATATCGCAAATGTTATTGCGCAATACGTGCGCCGTAATTCTTCCCTACGTGATTACGTGATATTACGCAATCGGAATCAACAACTGCCGGTATTGGGAGAATAAAGAACTAAATAACTGGGGTGTTTTTCATTCTAATTTTGAAAAGATGGCGTTAAATTTCCGGAATAGAATCATTCTTCGCTTGGGTTGGTAGACCGCAGAACTTTTAGTCCTATTCAATCCAAAGTGAAAAAAAAAAAGAGGTCCGTTGCTTGTTTTGCAGCGAACTGTAACGGTTTCAATATTCAAGATTTTGCGGAGAAAGGCGAGACCTCCCAACCTTTGTACTGTATAATATATTGCCAAAAAAATGAAATTATTTTGACTATTCGATTACTTTCCCTTTATTTAAGCCATTCCGAATATTATTCCTTAGAAAGCTAATCTGTGTTAAAACAAAACCATTTTTGTAAGTTTACTATACTTCAGCAGTTACTGCAACTATGTTATTATAAACATTCATACATATGCTCATAATATAAGCATAACGATCATAATAAACACGAATATGAACTGACCAAGCGGAACGAGAATGCAAATTTTTAAGATCTTGATAGAAATTCAAACGTGTAAAGTATTTGGGTGGGAGGAAAAGAATGCCGAATGTAGTGGAATTTTCACTGCTTTCGCAATTCTTTGACCAATAGAAGGACGGGCACCTGTCTGTACTCTTCGTGCACACCAAAGGTTATGTTAATGCAGAGAAAGGGGGAAAAGCTATTTCCGGGAGTATGACTCACCATCTGACATTCCATATTAGGAAGAAAAGTTGTTTATTTAGTTTTGGCTTTGATACGGGGAAAAATAGCGCATTCATTAAAAAAAAAAGCACTAAAAGCAAAAAATAAGCACTAAAAACAAAAAAATAAGGGCTTTAAAGAAAAAGTAAGCACCTATAAGGGCCTTTATATTTTATTTTCAAATATAAGCACTTATAAGGACCGCTACGAACCCTGACTGTGGTGAGTATTCTGAAAGATGCAAACATGCATCTTCGTAAAATGAAAAAGAATTCTAGAGTTCTATGAGAACTATAGGTCAAAAGTGAAATTGATATTGAGGAAAATAATTTATATAAAAACTCATCAATAGTTCTAGGCTTGAAGTGGGATACACATCAAGACAATTTAGGTTTTAATGTAGCACAGTTCAGGGAATTGCTTGATGAACAAACAGTAACTAAAAGACTCATTTTGCAAACCGTAGCCAAAATTTATGATCCTATCGGACTAATTTCTTCAAGAATTATGGGAATCTGGTTGCGATTGGAATTCCGATGTACCTGATGAGCTAAGAAGGAATTTCTTGACATGGTATTCTGAAATCGAGAAATTGTTAACATTAATATTCTTAAAAGATATTTTTTGTGTGGTTTAGCACTGATTCAGAAAATATGATCCTAGTTGTTTTCGCCGATGCAAGTATCAAAGGATATGGTAGTATAGCGCATCTACAAAATCCCACTACTTTGGAGACATCAGTTGCACTATCTAAAAGCACAGTAGCTCCTCTAAAGAAGCTTACACTTCCTCACTTGGAACTGATGGCAGCTACTATTGCTGCTAGGATAGCTAACTATCTAAAAATACTCTTTAACATCAAAGAAGGCAATATTTATTGTTTTAGCGACTTTCAGGTATTACTTCATTGGATAAAGGGTTCTGCAAATAACTGGAAGCCTTTCATAGTAAATCGTCTTAGAGAGATGCACAATTTAATTGTTCCTTCTCAATGGCAGTTTTACAAGGGATCTGAAAATCCTACAGATGTTGTATCACGAGGTGCAAAATTGATAGATCTGACAGACAATGAATTTTAGTTTCACGGTCCACCTTTGCCAAGGCAAAGTAACTTCAGTAATCAAAGGGTTGAACCTATTTTAGATCTTGAACTTAAGGAACTTTCTCTTGAAGAGCAGCGAAAAACTGTGGTGTACGTTGCATCTAATAATAAAAATGAATTTGACCTTCTTACAAAATTTTCATCCTGGAATAAGCTCAAATGTGTAGTAGCATGGTATCTTAGATTTGTGAAAAATGCCAGTTCTTGAACATTAAAAGTTAAAGGAGTTTTAACTGATCCTGAACTCAACAGAGCTTCAGACTTTATTGTGCGCTTAGTCCAAGAAAGTGAATTTAAAGCCGAAATCTCGGCATTAAGAGCAGGGAAAAACCTCAGCTCTAACAGCAGAATTATCTCCTTGAATCCATTCTTGGATAACGAAAATATTCTTCACATTGGAGGAAGGCTAAGGAATGCAAATATACCTGAAAATCAAAAGTGCCAGGCAATTCTTCCTAAGAAGCATCATGTGATTGAATTAATAGTTAAGCATTTTCATGAAACTCATCTTCATGGAGGAACTTCACTTACAATTTTGGCTATCCGACAGAAATATTGGATAATTAACTGTAGAGACGCAGTAAGCAAAGTTATTAGAAACTGCATGAAATGCTTCAGAAATTGTACAAATACTGCATCGCAAATAATGGCCGATATTCTGGCATCTCGAGTTGTGCCAAGCAGAGTTCTTTCTGAAGTAGGCCTTGATTATACAGGGCCATTCCTTGTGAAACCCCGCAAGGGGAGAGGAGTGAAGCCAATCAAGTGCTATGTATGTCTTTTCAATATGTTTTGCCACGAGTAGTAGACTTAAAAGCTATCAATGATGTAGTTAAATGTCCTATCAGCAAACTTTCACCATTATCATTTTGCCATCGTGAAAATTAATGACTAAAAATTGCATTCTTATTTTCACATATAATTCACTGTATTTGTATTTTAGTTTCATAATAATGTCTTGTGTTGAAGTAAAACAAGTGTCTTCATAATTTTGTCTTTCAGTTTATGGTGATTTCAAAATTCATATTTTAACTTTAAATTTAACTTCTCATATAACATTGTTAAAAATCTTGTTAGTATTGGAATATATTAAAATAATTATAAATTTGAAGCTTGTGATGAACAATTGTTCATCGTACCAGTATGTTATGAAGTATGAAATACTATAGGTGGCGCTGATGCACCAAAAGAGTTAGTCCTTATAGCTCAGCATGTAAAGACGTGTATCTTAAAGCATCAATAGGGCTAAAATCCTGTACTCCAATTTTGAATATGTATCTATATAGTGTTGTGCATTGTGTATTATCATCATAATAAATGTTGTGTGTGAACTTCGCTCAATCCTTGGAATAAAATATCGACCACATATAACAACCACCCTGTAACCACCCCTCTGAATACTTGGAGCTTGTCACAATTGCTCCATATCAGTATCTGGGACTCCATGAGAATCATAAAACTAATTTAAAATTCATTCAGAAGAGATTTTTTGTGGCATCTGTACGTATGTATGTATTTCGCGTAACTCAGAAACGAATAACCTCAGAACATTGAAATTTTGTATGTGGGACAGTTATAAAATATTGATGTGCATCACCCTTTTTGGTTGCAATCGGCCACACCAAAAGTATATATATATATATATATATATATATATATATATATATACTTTTATGTATCCACTCTGCTACTCAGCTCAGTGAGCTCAGTTTTCTTTATATCCCATATAAGGCATGTCCCAAATTTGAATTTTTTTTTTTTTTTTTTTTTTTTTTTTTTTTTTTTAATGTTTAAAAAAATTTACCAAAAATGGTTAATTTATATCCTTGTTCATAAAAACAAAAATGATATATTGAGAATCAATCAGCTTAAATCAAACAAAGACACAAATGTTATGAATGTGTTCTTACGAATGTGTCACTTATCCATAACTGGCACTGAATTGCGCTCTACATGATAGTTTCTCGGATGACAAGATAATACATACATACCAAAAAAATATATCAGGCAAATAATGGAAGAAGCACATTCTATTAGGATATGTCGGGAAGTTATAAAAATTATTAAATAGATACATTCATTCAACACAGACATATTTCATTTCTACTCGTTGCATACAGATTATTCATATTTTGTGCTACATACATTTATCCATTAATAATTTCAACTAATTGCATAGATTAATATTTGATGAACCAGTGATTTTTAAATAATATCATTATCACATTTGGAAGTCCACCCTTGTTTTAAATATCCAAAAAAGAGCAAAATGTTTTAATGGAGTAGTTTTAAGCATTTTACTCACATTAGAAATGTACGAGCAACTTATTTAACTGGAAATACTTTTAAAAATACATTACTAATAACAATAAATAATTTAAAATATTTGTTTTTTAGCATTTAGTTCACTTTTCACAGCAGGAAATAAATATACAATAAATATATAATTGTGACTAGTATGCTGAAAATACTGAAATGAAATAAAGCTTACTCATTTTGCTCTTCCATGTCTTTACTGTAAGAAATATCTGCTGTGCACAAAGCACATTCATCCTGAAAATTAGAAAAATATTAAATTGAAAAATAAAGGTTAAAAAACTTTTGCATCAAATTTTATAATTATTATCACTTTCTTACTCCCTTTATACGTATAGAGCAAAAATAAATAAAATTTAAAGAATGTAGTATAAAATAATACAATAAAAACCTCCTTAGCATATATGATGCATAGAGCAAAAATTAATGAAATTTGGAGAAAAAGAGGGGAAAAAAGAATAACAATTTATTTATCCAGATTATTTGCTGTTGACCTCTAACAAATATGTAGGTGGATTAGGTATAACAATAATATAACAATAGTATATTTTGATTCTGAAGTCAGAATTATTTCTTATTAGCACTAAATGGTTAATTAATATTTGATTTCTAAGCTTATAATTTTGAAATGTGATTAGTCATTTAATGCTTAAAAACAGAATATGTATGTATGAAAAAACTTCCCTTTTTTCACTAAATTTAACTCATACTTGAAGAAAAAACACAAAATTCAAATTGAATTACAACTGCTAATTTTCAAACAATTATTTTAATATTCAAAAAGAGCCAAATTACTTTTCATAAAACATAATGAATTTATCCTCTTTCAATATTCAGAAATTAAAATGCATTTTATATGCAAACAGGTTAGCACAATGTCCATTGAGTTACACATAATTAATAACAAAGTTTTAAATTTATAACAAATGAACAAAAATTGGATATCTAAGGACTTTGATTTTGAATTAAATAAGAAAATTACATGAAACAGCATGCTAAAAAACAAAGAATAGGAAAAAAGTGCAACAGAAATAGTATTAATAAATAAAAAGATTCATTACAGATATTTTGAAATTTTTAACATACAGAATAGCAACAGAAATAGTACAGTACAAAGTCCATAATCCAGACTCGCTGGGACTTTGGCAATTCCGGATTAGGAGTTTTTCCGGATTATAGATCATCAATTTAAATCTGGTAAGATGGCATGCAGAAATTATACAATTTAAAATATGAAACCGTTACTTATGAAATAAAGAGCAATTATGATCTAAAGGGTATCAAAATTTTAAAAAAAGAAGAAAAAAAAAAGCTTTATATTTATTTGTTTACTTTAGTAAACATTTCTATCAATGTAAGTTGTTCAAGTTGCTTCGTTTTTTGTGCTAATACTTTTTCTTCAATTCTATAAACAGACATAATTTCTTGTTCAGTTACAAAGTTCCGCTGTTCAAGTCCTGTAATTGTTGTGTCGAGAATACCAACTCGTCAATCGAAAGTTTTTTCGTTTTCAATAACGTTCTCTGTTACTTTCTTCACTATCGGAAGCGTGCATGGGTAAACGCTTTACTGGCTTTACGCGCATGCGTAGTGGGTGCACGTATCAAATGCTTTATGTGCATGAGTAAACGCATTACGCGCATGCGTAAGTTTGTGGCTTTGAGGTCCGGATTATAGATCATTCCAGATAATGGACGTCCGGATTACGGACTTTGTACTCTATTAATAAATAAAAAGATTCATTACACACAATTTGAATATATTTTACCTTTTTAAGGCAATAACAAGAGAAACAACACAAATCCAGTATTAGAATGGTATTGAAACTATGGGTTGTAACCTAGATGGAGTTGCAAGGTTAAGCATTTAAAAAACTTTTTAAAATCTAAATGGATGGTATATAATCAAGTCATCTGTACTTAGTTGGACTGCCATACCCCTGCTGCATCTGAATACCACTGCTGTATCACATCCATGTAACTGCTAGCTCCCCAAGAAGCAAGCAACCAAAGGCGATTGTTTTATTATTAAAATGCATTGATATGTCATAACATATTGTTTTTATTATTAAAATGCACTGATATGATATAACACATCTATTATTAAACTGCTGACCATTAAAATTGCAACACCATGAAGGAAAGCAAATACAAAAATGATATATAAACAGTATGGCATGAAGACAAAATGATTAGATTTGTAAGCAGTTTGGGGGTTTACATGGGTGCAAAATTAATAGAAACAGTTGCCACCCCTTGCAACTAAAACAATCCTTGTCCGGTTAGGCATGGAGCCAAACTGGGGTTGGATGGAAGAAACGGGAAACTCATTCTATGTCACACTTCATCAACGTATTAGCTCGAAAGGGGTGGCTGGTAAGACTCTTAGCAGCCCATGACTGGATATTTTTCAATGAATGACAGAACTGGAGACCATGCAAGCCAGGGCATCAGTCAAATACCCTGTGTGTCAAGGAAGGTCAGAATACGACAAGCAACATGTGGTTTTGCATTATCTTATTGGAAGAGGGTGTTTGGCAGGTCTCGAAGATAGACCACAAGCACTGGACATAACATGGCAGAAATGTACCGATCTACATTCAAGTTACCGTCAATCTGAACAAGATATGCGCCTGTCGTGTGTGTACATAACGGCTGCCCAAACCATCATACCAGGTGTAGGTCTCCTATGCCGTATCGAATGCAAGCAGGCGATGTGCGGTTTCCTCACATATAAACCATCAGAATGCATGCAGAACTGGGACTTCTGAAATTGGAGTGGCACAATGTCAGCAAACGTCGACGCACCGCGCAAGGAGATACTGAGTGTGTTGCAAACATACTCATTTCCTGACTAATGGTTTGTGGTGTGGTTTTACGGTGTTGCCGAGCTGATCTCACAATTTGTCTGTCCTCCTGGACGTTGGTCATAGGAGGGCACTGAGATCCTATATGCCAGTATGACCCTCAGCAACCCATTGATTCCATATTCGCATGACTGTGGTTGGATGTCGACCAGTGCGACAAGCAATATCACGGAATGATAATCCGCACTCTCGATAGGCAACTATCCTGCCTCTATCAAATTCTGACACTTGCTGTTAAGCATTTATTCTTATTATTCGAGGCATAACACAATATTCTGAGCAAACTCCAACCTAACAAAGCACTTTTAGAATGAGAAATCCACTACATAACTTTTCTTTTATGCAGTGCTTCAGATGTCGTTTCTTCCTCATGCATTGTTTAAATGCGCTGAAATACTAATCATTTGCATATCCCAACCTCTCCTTCTTTTCGTGTGATTTTGTCATTTGTCAGATCATTCCTTCTTTGAGTTGCAATTTTAATGGCTGGCAGTGTATTTACTTGTTTTTATAATTTTCAGGCAGGAACTTGTAAGCAGGTTCTTACATTTGCTCTAGATTTTTTTTTTTTTTTTCCCTGTAGCAGGAAATATTTTGATTCTTTTAGACTATCTGCCCCTCTCCAAAAAGTGTTCATGAGGCAACGCCCTATTTCACCAAAACAGGCAACCCAAAACATCGCCAAAATGTGCCCCAGGTACAGTAAGACAAGAGTTGATTTTTTGTTTTTGTCGCATTCAAGTAATTTTTTTGTAGGGAATTAATAGTAATTTGATTGTTGCAATTAACAGTAATGGGATTGTGGAGTTTACCGGCTGATAAAAAATAAAGTGTTTCATTTCTTCAGATATACGTATTTGTTCACAATACAGTGCTAAAATTCAATAATTTCATGATGGTTTAGTTTACTTAATTATGGCAAAGCACTTGAGGGCTATTTGCCTAAGGGGAGGGATGCCTTCATGGAAGACTTTCTAAGGAAAATTGGCTCATATACACATTACACATGGGGAAAAGTATGTAAATGCCCATACAGACAGCCTGTTCGTCAGGATTCAAAACTCTTACCAAACTACCAATGTTCAGCGGCTTTACCACTCAGCCAGTGATGAGCCCATATTTCATAAAGTTGTACTTAAATGATGAAATTTTTTTTAATGTGATGCACATTTGTACAATCATCTGATTTTTTAAGCAAAAACAGATATTGGAAGAACAACAGAGTGTGTGATGTCGAGGTTGTACCATTCTCTGATGTCTTCTGAAGCTAAAACAGACTGCTGTACATGGAAGAAAAACAGCACAACAAAATTATTATGGAGGTGTTTATCATGATGTTTTATTTTGAATGTTTCTTGCATTTTTAGTTTTGTTAATCGTTTGCTATTTTATGTAATTATTAATGCACTGTCATTTTTGAAAATGGCTGTTGTCTTCCATGTCTTAGCTTGGTGATAAATTAGTTGCCTACTTTTGAGGAAGGGATCAAATAATCAGAAAGTACTGTTCTGTTTTAAAGCATATACTGTTCAATAATATTAAAAGCCAAATTTTTGCATTAAAATTCATATTTCTACATAAAAATACTTACTGAAAATTACAGCAAAATATAGATAACATCAAAGATTAATATAATATTATGTATGATCATTATAAAATTACATATAAGATAATACTTTTTCCTCTTTACATAAAAACTCACCATGATCTTTTCTTTGTTTATGGAATAAATGTGACAACTAGTTAATTCTCTGAACTTTTGTTTTGCTTGTTCTACTGCATCTTGAGAAACAACTAGAACTTTCATAACCTAAATACATGTGTGATTATTTTATTAAATTAATAAAAGTTTTAGGATAATAAAAATGACTCATTTGATACATTAAGTAAAAAACTGAAATTGATTGAAAAATTAGGTACTTACGTATGAACGCCACTGCAGCAGAAATTGTGCTGATGCGACAAAAAGAGCAATCCTGTTATTCGCACGCAGTTATCTTTTGGATTCCTTTTTGCCTTGTTGTTTGCTGATTTTTTAAGCCATTTTTTAGTGCTACGAAAATGCATCTTTGGAATTTTTTCAGGAGCGAAATATTTTACCAGAAAAAATGAAAACGTACCAATTCGCATGATACGAAACTTTATTTTGGTAAATGTACGTTTTGGGAATATAATTTAAGACAGTGTGATCAGCAAGTGGGACTTAGAAAAGACAACTGATTTGAAGGAAGCAGAATTCCATTTTGTTTATATTTGAGATTCATATACTGCTGGTGTGAAGAGTTGACGTTGATTAAATTTTGTGAAAAGCAACTTGATTTATCGGATAAAACTCTTATAGATTGGAACAATTACACGTGTGAATTATGTGTCTTGGATACGGAGAATAAACCAAAGAAGAAGGTAGGTGGACCAGATAGCATCATGGAAATTGATGAAAGTTTGCTTACTAAACATAACAATAATTGTGGTCGAGTATTACCCGAACAGTGAGTGCTTGGTGGTATATGTAGAGAAACAAAATATTTGTTTATTGTCATTCTTCCTAATAGAACTGGCTCTACCCTTCTTAATAAAATTATTGAAAACATTGCAGATGGTAGCACAATTTATTCTGACAGTTGGAAAGATTACCAAACAAAGAGAATAGAAAAAGAAGGATTCCTTACATGCTAAAGTTAATCATAAATACAATTTTATTGATCCTGATACAGGATTTCATACACAAACAGTTGAGAGAATGTGGGGCAGTGGTAAATGGAGGAACAAGAGACATAGGGGGACAGCAACTCATCATTTACAATCTTATTTAGCAGAGTTCATATGGAGATGGCATCAGGTCAAAGAAAATTGAGATTGTTTTGAATATATATGTTTAACTTTATATCGACCCATTTTACACCGAAATCCGATTGACGACTTTGATTTTAAATAAAGTGTTTTGATTTTTGAAAGTGTTTTGATTTTAAATAAAGTGTTTTAATTCATGATTAGTCGCAAAAATTTTAGGTCTAGATTGGCGGCACTTAAAAGCTGCCAAATCTGCAGCTGCAGTGACGTTAATACGTAAGTACCAAAAATTAACACAAGAATGAAAAGCACTACAAAATATGACAAAATACCTATAAAACTTGAAAATTGAAATTGTATATATTTAACTTGAAGCAATGTTCAATTTATTACCAATAAATATGAAAAGAGTTCTAAATTTTTGCAGTTCATTAAGGAATTACAGAATTAAATAAGACATATACTAAAATTTCATTCTTTTAATAAAAGTTGTAAAATAAAATCCTTTATAATCTCCCGTCAGCATGATTACAATTAGATAATTTACCCATTATGTAAAACTGAAAACCAGTAATGCTTTCAAAACAAATAAGTATAAGCAGTAAATTATAATGTTTACTTGCATAATAGTCATACTCCCCCCCCCTGACTTTTCATTCTGAAATTCTAGGTCCAACTATTATGCAGGGAAATCTGCACAATATTGTACACTTTTGATGACTTTTCTGCTTCAAAACAGAGGTGTGACTATTACGCGAGTAAACATAGTACATAAGATCTTACAAAGCAATAATGAATTTTAAAAAAAGCTTCAAATGAATTATAATCACATTCTCATAAATTTGGAAAAGATTTAACAAAAATACCTTTAAAACCTGAAAGTCTGAGATTCAGAAAAAATTAATTATTAGAATGTTGGACATAACTCTAAAGCAGCGGTTCCCAACGTGTGGTACACATAACTCTAGAGGTATGTGAAAAATTAACAATATTAGTTGAAAACAAAATCTTATAATGGATACAGATGAAAAAAAATGTTCAGAATGTTAAATTAGTCATTGAATAAAAGGAAATAAATAGGGGAATAACAGGGAATTCTAATGTGACTATCAACGGTCAAAATGTGTAGGAATTTATTAGTTATAATTAACCCTGCCCATATTGTTTATAATACTTCATTAATTATTTATCATATGTAGCTGCCCCCTTTCTTACCTTGTCATAGACAACTGCATAAAATGAATATCAGCCAATAATATTTTTAAAATCAAGTGAATCATCTCTCATTCTTGACAATTATAGTACATTCAAATTTGAGTGTGGAGTTTTCTTTTACATCAGCTGATGTTCTTTTAAAAATGCACAAGTGGTGAAAAAGTGGATCTCCACAAAGAATCATCTCTCATGTACAAACATGAGATCATTAACAGATACATGAGAGATAATCTCTCACAAAGAATTATCTCTCATGTATCTCTTAATAGAATAATCTCTATTAAAAGATCTTCATAATCTCTATTAAGAGATACGTGATAAGTGGGGTATCACTGCTCTACAGCAAGGTTTCTTAAATCTTTTTCAGTGGCGACTTCTATTTATCACTGAGATTTTATCGTGATCCCCAGGACCTCATAACATTTACAAAAATTTTATGGAACCTCCATAAGTATTGGGCTAATCCGACACACGCGCGAGTGAAACTCAATTTTTTCATTTATTACTGTAATATACTAGTGCAGGTCATTAACTTTAATTTCTAATTTTAAGACATAGAATACTGTGAAATTTTTAAATAAGTATCAGATGAAATGACAGCATCACGTGCAAAGCAAGGAAAATGAACGTTTATATTATAAAAAGAATGCGTTTTCGTTTCTTTCTTTGTCTGTATTGTCTTATTTTTATCTATTTTCAGATATATTCGGTAAAAATATTTGGCAATTGTAAAATTATTATAATAAGTTAAAGAAATATCAAAACTGCTAAAAATTTTGGCGACCCACACTTTAAGAAATCTTGTTCTACAGGAAGTACAATGAGGCCATTTTACTGCCATTAAAGACATGACAAGCAATCAAGTTAAACTACATTTTTATTGCATGTACTACAGCAACGTATTTTAGGAAATGGCTTGACTGAGAAACTTGTTGAAGAAAATAATAATTTAATCACAATATTATCTACACACACACACACCTAAACTACATAAAAAAAAATGAAGAATGAAAAAGATGAGGGTTGGGGAATAAGAATCTTTTTCTAAAATGTCAGATGCTAAGACAAATGCTGAAGAAATTTTATAAAAGAAAGATGTTTGTCAAAAGAAGAATATTCAGCACATTTGAAACAAAACTATAGAATATAAGTTTATTCTAATGGTTGAAAACATAACTTTAGGGTATATAATGATAGTATTTTACACAGTATCCAAATAACACATTTCTAATTCTGTAAATCCTGCAAAATTACACAAATCTAGCACCACATTTGTGACCCTTTATCATCTGAAACAATTTAGGAAACTGCATAAAAAAGTACCAGCATAACAAATGATCAGTTATATTTTATGGAAGGGGACGAAGCACTGACAAACTTCAAAGACATGAAAAAAAGATTTAAGTTTCAGAAAAAAAAATACTTTGATGGATCACTGAATACTAAAGTGACAGATTGAGTAAAACACATCAGTACATGAAACTAAAAACTGGTTTCCAGGGGAAAAAGATATTAATGTAATACAAGATTTTTTTTAACAAAAGTGAATCTAGTTATTGCTCTTGAAGTACTAAATTCCAAGGTTAAATAAATAAATGATCACAAAAAGTTGAAGATTAAGTTAGAACACCTTCCTTTTATGTAATCTGGCAGATGATGATATTAATGTAACATATGCTTCTATAACACACTGCCTCTTAGAGATCAAGATTAATAAGAATAAAAATTAAATTACTTTTGCACAGAATGATTACTGAAAGCAGTTGCAGCATGTACCTTAACCTCTTCATCGTCCGTAACGAGTCTAGCACGTTCAAGTGAAACTTCCGCAGGGCGGCCGTAACACGCCACAAGCGTTCTTCCACATTTAAAAATTTTTAAATGTTTAAAACGGTTTCTAAACGTTTACTTGTTTGAGTTTTTACTTTTGTTTATTCTAATACCTCCTAAAGGGTAGCACTAATCAGGCATTCTATTTCTAATTGAATTTGCCCCGGGTTTTATGAATATCTGCGCCATTTAACATAAGATACAAGACAGTGAAAGACGGCTTCAATATCTATTCAGCAGAAAAAGAGAAAAAATGAGGTCGTGAATTGAAAAGACAAGAAGGATATACGTTTGATGAGTAGAGTCCATAATGATTGATGTTGGAACATGGAAAAGAACTGTAAAAAAACCAATATAGTCAAAAGTCGTTAATCCGGACTCGTCGGGACTTCGACGATTCCGGTTTATCGATTTTCCCGGATTATAGATCATCAGTTTAAATCTGGTAAAATGGCCTGCAGAAATTATAAAATTAAAAATATGAAACCGTAATTTATGAAATAAAGAACAATTATGATCTAAAGGGTATCAAAATTTACAAAAAGAAAAAGCTTAATATTTATTTGTTTACTTTATTAAACATTTCTTTCAATGTAAGTTGTTTAAGTTGCTTCGTTTCATGCGATAATACTTTCTCTTTAATTCTATTAAACAGACATAATTTCTTGTTTAGTTACATACCGACTAATTTGTCAATCGAAATTTTTTCGTTTTCAATATCTCTGTGTCACTTTCTTCACTATCGGAAGCGAATTATAATGACGAGGAACTTGATTTAAATCATATCAAAGACAGAGTACATCGAGATGAAATACTACATTTAGCAAGGAATTATAAGCCAAATAAAATAAAAACATCTGCCCTGAAGATAAGAATAGTGCTGACAGATTAACTTCCAATTCTTTGCACGCCGCGTCGTTTCCCTTCCCCCGCAGAGCAGCGTGAAATTGATAAACATATTTCGGAATGATTAGATAATCAAAGGATAAGACTTTATCCCTTTTTTTCTGCAATTCCACTTTCTGTTTAATGGAGTTTGAAACATACTTTCGCTTTGTAGATCCTTTACATATTAGTAAATATATATCAGAAATTCTATTTGACATAATCGAAAGTTCAAGCCTACTTTTATAAATTGCTCTAACAGTCTGCAAAAAATAATAAGCTGGATCCAATTCAAAGATTAAGGAACAAGGTAATCTGCAACATTAACTGAATTAGATAATTTTAGCTTAGCTTATACCGTCCGTTATACATTAAACGCGCATGCGTAAACGTATTATGCACATGTGCACACGCATATTCACAGCTGTAAAGGTCTTATGTGCACGCATAAACGCCTATGCGCATGCGTCAATGCGATGCATGAGCAGAAAGTTTGTAGCTTTGAGGTCCGGATTATAGATCATTCCGGATTATGGGTGTCCAAATTAACGACTTTTGACTGTAATTGTAAAAGGTTACAACAACAAAATGGGAGGAGTGGACCGCCTGGAACAGATGTTATCAAATTATCTTGCTGTTAGAAACAAGCAGAGATATTATTATTTTTCCATTATGCTTTATTTCCTTATAATTTTACTTAATATTCATTGACATTCATCCACTACGAAAGTCATGTATGGAAAGTTATGATGTGCAGAAAAAACAACATTACATGCTACGAAAAACAGACAACCGCTGGGGGAAAATTTTCACGGACAGGAGAGGACGGCAAAAGGGTTTTAAAAGACTTTGTAGTCTGGACTGCTAGATGAAAAATATTTTCATTCTAGCATAAATGTTGCCAAACTAATGTCCTGCAATCAAAATTGAAATAACTTTTCTTGATGCAAATAGTGCCCTTTTTTAGAAACGAAAATTTATTTTACTAAAACTTATGATTCAATAAATAAAATTTGTTTTAAAAAATATAATGCACAATTCAAATTGTTTTTTAAAATACATTTTTATAGTGTATTTCACAGATATATACATTTAAAATATCTTACTTTCCTGTTATCCTGCCCTACATCACCAGCAAGAAAATAATGGACTTGTAAATTTGCATTTGCTTTTAAATTTTGTTTCATCAGAAATTCAAACATGTACCTAGGGAAATAAAAATTTTAGTTTTGCCTAACAAATTAAACATTTTGAAAAAAACGTATGTGAATAAAAAAAAAAAATTACACTTCTAAATTTGTTTAAAGCTAAGACTACTGAAATATTATCATTTCATCAATATTTTATTTAATCAGTGCTCGACAGAAATAATTCAAGCATATTTCATACAATTTTTTAAAAGATCATGTGAACTGGAAGACTTAAAATTAATATTTAATGTTATCATTAACTTTCTGAAATATTAATTCAGACTAAAAAAGTTTGATCTTGGGGCAGAGAACGCTTTAAAAAAATAAGCAATAATACATTGGATTTGCCAGAAGCAAATCTTTTCTGATTTCCTATTAAGTCAAACTTTCCAAGCCCTGCAAGCACTTTCAGACTCAGAGCCTAGTGCAATACAAATACAAATCATCACACATCTTTATTTAAAAATAATTTGTTATTTACATTTTAGTACAACCACTTAGCACATCTTGGTGATTTTTACAGAAGATAAAGAATCATGACTTAATTTTAAAAAATACCTATTATGCATATATTTTACATTTTAGTCAAGTATTTATCTCAAAAATGAACCTATAAATCTACTTACAAGTGGGTTTTTAATCTTTCATTCTAGTGGAAATTTTGCGGTGATCATTTAAAAAATAAAATTCTCTTCCCTTCAGCCATAACGCAGCAAAATACAGTATTCCTGCAGAAATTTTACCACAGTTTTTTTCCATTCCAGTTAAATCCTGTATGTGCATATTTTAAAATTGAATGTAATATAAAAAAATACTATGATTTTTTGATAAAAACCACATGAATTTAGAATACAACAGAAAGAACTTCTTTAGAAAATTTTACATTCTCCCCCTTCAGTTTAGGCATTACAGAAGATCAATGATATTACTTTTATATAAATACATTTAAAAATAAATATATTCCCCTTTCCTTCTTGTGCTCACAAATCATTATGCGAATATGCATTTTTAATTTTTAAAACCTGAAAAAACGCATGTCTGCAATATTATCATCATGCAATGATTTGTAAGAACTTTTTTTTCACAAAGATATTTTCTACGACGATGTTTTTATACTGCAAAGTTATAGAACCGCTATATTTTCAACGGCGATATTTTGTACCACGATGCTTTAGAACTGTGATGTTTTCTCCGATTTCTTTTCTCCCACAACGTTTTTGCCTTGCGTTGTTTTCTCCATGATGTGTTTGCTGCGATGTTTTTGGCTGTAACCGCTCTTTTCTTATTCATTTTCAACTGTGAAAAAAAGCTGTTTGCACATAAATATATTTCCAAACAAAGCAATTATTCCTAGTGGAATAATCCATAACTAAGCCTATTTAGTTTTTGAAAAGTACAAATAAAAGTTTATAAAATCTGTACCTTCAAATCTTTGAATAAGATTTATTTCAACACTGTAAATCAATTAACTCCATTTCTAGATTTTCTGGTGTGTTACTCATGTTCCTTTCCAATCAAATGAAAATAATGTAAAATCCAGATTCAAATAAAAATCTTGAAAGCTTTGCAACAGAATAACTGAAACATCTTAGTTTGACAACCCTATAATAAGTGAAAAATTTCAGCTTGATACTGTCATTTACAGATGAGTATGATCATGATCATATATATGAGCCCATATTATAAAACATTTGCATCCCCCAAATGATCACACACACACACACACTAGCCTATTATCTGCCTATTACAAAACACCTCTTGACAGAATTCTTGCATCGATTCAAATTAAATGCATGATAAATTATCATAGTTGAAACTGTAATAAATCACTAAAAGTAAGGAATTTCGGTACTTTTCCATTTCGCCAGTGCAAATCTCGCCAAGCAGACTTTATTGGCGACAACACACAGTATACACATAAAAAATGTTAACAAATGTTGGTTTTAAGAATTTTTTATTTTGAAGGCATAAACATCTTAATATCGTTTAAATTTTGTAAAAAGACAATAGACAATAAATTTGTAAAGAGACATTAATTTAAGGATTTACTATGCTTTCATGGTTCAACACACTGATTCGCCAGTTCGTATCACGTTACCCAAAGTAATCTCATCTCACGTAAACTACGCTACAAAAATATAATTCTCTCAGTAATTATCTACATTAATTTCAAGTTAAAGCTTAATTTGGAATACAAGTTTAAATGCAAGAATTATTTCAATTTGTACGGATAGCTTACTCAGAAATTATGCAAAACCACAGTGCATTACTTCGCTAGTGCATTCTTATTAGAATTGATGAATTTAACCCTTAATTTTGCCTTTCCTATATTTTCGCCTTTGGGTGAGCGGTGGTTGCATCCTAATTGACTTAATTACCGCAAATCATCTTAGGGTATAATATTTAACTATCTTTTGTAAAACTTCTATGCCAATATTGAAAGAAACAATCAATCTGATAAGAAATGGCTGCGACTTGTTTTGACAATGAAGCGTATGTTTTTATTTGGAAATTCATAGTGTGAATGACTTTGCATTTAGGAAAAATAAAACAAGTATCATCAATCTTAGTAATAGAACTATTTCGAATTTTAACAGTATGCTCCATGTCAGTGTGAAAACGAAATACTTAAAATATATAGTTACAACATTCAATTACTTGCACTTTGATAAGTCGAACTGAATATTGATATGGGGAATTCAAAATAAATGTTAAACATTCTTGATAGATGGAATTTGCACTTAATCGATTCCCTTTTCTTGTTTCCGCCAGATATAAATTATTAATGTTGATTCTTCTTAATGTTTTAATACTTTTCTGTAGATTCAAAATTTTTAATGAATTATGTCTGCATTTAAATGGTGACTTTCATGCATGATTTCAAAATTTTAAGTAGGTTCCTATTTTAATATGATTGAAGAAGTAAGGTTCTAATCAAAATTAAACAAGTAAGCGATAAAATATCATGTGAATTCATATTCTGTTATCACCTGTAAAATTTTCTTTTTAAGAAGATAAAATGGCAATAATACTTTTTCAACTAAGTATCAAATTGCGTTGTTATTTGTAGAGACATTAGGTATTTTTTTTACAGCAGGAGAGATGAAAAATGAGCATCGCCCTCGCCGGGACCCGAACCACGAACCTCTTGAATACACGTCGAGCGTCCTGACCACTACACCTCGAAGGCATGCTAAGAAAGCGGGAGAAATACTTTATATACTTCCCATTTTATACGGCGATTGGGGTTTAGGGACCCCTATCGCCAAATCCTGGTGGTGAAGAATCATCATTCATACCTTTTTAGTTTGGGTGCCACTGTAGAGGCATTAGTTTTTTTGATGCTGAGAGATGTGAAAAATCAGCAATGCTCTCACCGGGACTCGAACCATGTAGCTCTTGAACAAGTGTTGAGTGTGCTGACCAATACATCACGAAGGCATGCTAAGGAGGTGGGAGAAATGCAGGTACTTTTCTGTTTCGCCTGCGCAAATCTCGCCAAGGAGACTTTGTTGGCGACAGCATACAGTATACATATAAAAAATTTTAGTTAGTTCTAAGAATGTTTTATTTTGAAGGCATAAACATATTAATACGATTTAAAATTTTGTAAAAAGCCAATAAATAAAGACATTAAATTTGTAAAAAGACATCATTTAAGAATTTAATATGCTATCATGGTTCAACATCCTGATTCGCTGGTTCATATCACGTGACCCCAAATGATTTAATCTCACGTAAACTATGCTACAAAAATCTAATTCCTCTCAGTGATTATCTACATTAATTTCAAGTTAAATCTTAAAACGGAATACAAGTTTAAATGCAAGAATTATTTCAATTCGTACAACTCAGAAATTATGTAAAATCGTAGTGCTTTACTTCGCTAGTGCATTCTCATTAGAATTGCTGATTTTAACCCTTGATTTTGCCTTTTCTATATTTTCGCCTTCGGGTGAACGGTGTGATTGCATCCTAATTGACTTAATTACCGCGAATGGTCTTAGGACATAAAATTTAATTATCTTTGTAAATATTCTCTGTAATTGTATGCCAGTATTGAAAGAAACAATCAATCTTATAAGAAATGGCTGCGACTTGTTTTGAAAATGAGGCAGAAAAGGTTACCAGCAAAGATATTCCGTTTGGCATCTTTTGTACCATTTCTGGCAACTTTATCGCCTCACTGGCAAAATAGAAAAGTACCAGAATTTCAAAGGAAATGAATGGCAGAGTGCATTATGGACAAATCATGATAAGGAAGAACATGAATTCAATAATGAGAAACTCTATAATGAAATAGTAAATAGCAAGGATTTTCAGCACCAGAAGATAATAACTAAGCATGATTTAAATTTTGAGCGAGGCTTGTTTTCTGTTTGTTTTTTAAAGTTATTTTTTCATTTTTTAAAATAAAGTTTACTTATGATATATACAGTCAAAAATCGTTAATCCGGACTCGTCGGGACTTCGGCGATTCCGGATTATTGATTTTTCCAGTTTATAGATCATCAGTTTAAATCTGGTAAGATGGCATGCAGAAATTATAAAATTAAAAATATGAAACCGTAATTTATGATTTAAAGAACAATTATGATCTAAAGGGTATCAAAATTTACAAAAAAAAAAAAAAAAAAAAAAGCTTAATATTTATTTGTTTACTTTATTAAACATTTCTTTCAATGTAAGTTGTTTAAGTTGCTTCGTTTTTTTTATGTGATAATACATTCTTTTTAATTCTATAAACAGACATAATTTCTTGTTCAGTTACAAAGTTCCGCTGTTCAAGTCCTATAATTGCTGTGTCGAGAATACCGACTAATTTGTCAATCGAAATTTTTTCGTTTTCAATAACCTCTGTCACTTTCTTCGCGATTGGAAGCGAATTATAATGACGAGGCATTTGATTTAAATCACATCAAAGACGGAGTAGATAGAGATGAAATACTACATTTAGTAAGGAATTATAAGCCAAATAAAATAAAAACATCTGCCCTGAAGATAAGGATAGTGCTGACAGATCAAATTCCAATTCATTGCGCGCGGGGTGCGTTTCCCCCAGATAAACAAAGTTCAGATAAACAAAGGATATGCCATTATCCATTTTTTGCAGCAATTCCACTTTTTTTTAATGGACTTCGAAACATACTTTCGCTTTGTTGATCCTTTACATATTAGTAAATATATATCAGAAATTCTATTTGACATAATCGAAAGTTCAAGCTTATTTTTATAAAATTGCTCTAACAGTCTGCAAAAAATAATAAGCCGAATCCAATTCGAAGATTAAGGAACAACGCAATCTGCAACATTAACTGAATTAGATAATTTCAGCTTAGCTTATACCGTCCGTTATACATTAAACGCGCATTCGTAAACGTATTTTGTGCAAGCGCACACGCATATTCGCAACCGTAAAGGTCTTACTCGCATGCGCAGAACGTTTTTAGCTTTGAGGTCCGGATTATAGATCATTCCAGATTATGGGTGTCCGAATTAACGACTTTTGACTGTATAACATTTTTTTAAAACCTAATTTGTTTTTATGAATTTACATTTGTAGCTACAAGAAAAATGGCAATTTTAAAATTTTACCTGAATAGGTAACTATATCTAAAAATTAGATGTCATATTTTTAAACATGCTTATAAGTAAAAGTTTGATTTTTTTATGTTTTTTTTAATTTATAGATCAACTTAAACACCAGTACATATGGTACATAATATAGTTCTCTCTTTTTATAACAGCTTATTATACTACAATTACATTATATACCACAGAAGTCTCTTAAAATTACAGGCAGATAGTATAACTCCCCCCCCCAAAAAAAATTGGTGTACAATATATGCTCTACTTTGTATATTGGTATTTTACTCAGCCAACTGTGCAAAACAAATATTTGAAAATTAATTTTCCTCTTTCTCTTTTTTTTAAAAACTACCTTTGTTCAGTTGTTTCAGCAACAGTACTTTCTCATATACACTATAAATGTCTTGGGCAGCTTTTGAATCTTGACTAATGATAAACAGAAGGAACAGAAATGTTCATTTTTCTCTACTTGGCACTCCATCACCATATGAATGGAAAAGAAACTGTAAATGAATTTTCAGAAATGATGATGAAGAGTTGTAAAGAAAAAATACAGCAATTAAATCTCTAAAATACTATGATAAAATATTTTCATGTTCCTTCAGATATCAAGGAAAACATAAACACACATACACAAATAAATGTATCCGATAATCAATATGTAATTTGTTGATTTAAAAGCATAGGTACAAATCTCATATTCACTACTTTACACCTAATTTCTCCATATTCCATAAACATTCAACTTTCTCAGTGAAAAGCCTTTCATTGCAGTCTTAATGAGAAAGCACTGCACATGATGTTATTTTTCAATCAATAATTAATGATTGCTTTATTCTTCAAAACAATAAATTAAATGTAAAAGAATTAACTTACATTTTGGCTTTATTGACATGAATTTTTAATTCTCTACTTAACATCTTGTAAGTCACCTACAGAAAGAAAATAAAAATTTACATAATAAATGCATACAAAAATTATACAGTCTAATTAACATTATTTTAACAAATATAAAATCAATTATTCAAATTTAAAACTCATAATACTCTGTCTCAACTACATCAAATGACTTAAAGATCTTAAAAGAGAAATACAATCCAAAGAGATTGCACAGTATCTAGTATGAAACAATAATCATTGATATCTATCGATGATATTCAAATCATGGTATGAACAACCGGATGATATATGAGCAACTCAGGGTATTACTTGAGGATATAAACTTGAAGCTACTGCTTAAAAATACCAGAAGCTCTCAACAAATAATGATTTTCCATCCTCTCTTGGTCTCATCATCCCCTTTGAGTTTGTTCAGCATTCGCTACCCTTGCAACAATGATACATTACCAGTCTTTTGAATATCATGAGTGAAAACACATTAAAATTTAAATATTTATTTGCACTTACAGTACATAAAGTTAAAACTCATCATGCCATAATGAAACAGAATGGCTATGAATTTATAATAACAGAGCAAATATGCACAGATGCCAATCACAGTGACATATTTTGAAAAAAAAAAAAAAAAAAATACTAATATGTATCAGATATTCCTGAAAAAAACAGCTTAAAATATATTTTTAGAATTTTAAATTGATACTTATGCAGAATTTAAAAAATGAATTTACCAATAGGCTGGACCAAACACATGAAGGATTGAAGGATCAACTGACATGACTTGATATGATTTTTTAAAAGATGCATAATTTAATATTTGTATAATCGAGTGAATGTTTAAATATTTGTTTAAGAAATCTTTAGGCAAATAAATTTTTCCAGGTTTGTTTTGACTGTCCAGTTTTTTTTCCTCAGTGTCCTCTCACTGTTTATTCCATTAGTAACATACTTTGGGTTCCTCAGCATAAACTGAGACGGAAAACAGAACCCATTTAACGAAACACTGCGTTAAGGAAAATAAAAAATGACTTCTTTTCTAAAGTTTCCTTAGAATGTTTTTAAGATACTTTTTCACATTAATGTCTCTCTCTATGACACTTAATCTATGGTATACCTAAAAACTAAATATTACTTATAGCTTTATTTTATATGGAAGTTTTAACTAGATAATGAGATAAAATAAAGCTGCATCAAGCTTTCCATGCAAAAATTTAAGACAGAAAATATCCACTCCAGAATTATGATCAAAAATAAAAATTTTGATTAAAAAAAACATACAATTATTTTTAATTCTTTATTTTCTTAAAATCACTAAATGTATAAAACCTTTCTTACAGAAGTTTAACATTGAAAATTTTTTTATTTTATTTCATTAAGTGATTATAACAATTTTTAATACAGGACAAGAAAACAAGGATTAAACAATTCCGAGATATTTTAGGATAAATATGCTTTTACAACAGGTAGATTAAAATCCGCCATAGAATACTGATAGTAGATTTAAAAAAAGCTTTTCAGACCTTCTTCGGGAAGTTTTCTTACACTGCACTTTCTATGAACAACATATGCAATCTACAAAACATTTGAGAAATTCTTTCTCACATAATATAATAATGAAAGATTGTGGGATACTAAAACTATAAATTTCAGCCAGGAAATAGAGTAGAGCAAGAAATAAGGAAATAAATACAAATTCAGTACACATAAACATTAAAATAATAATAACAATTTGTATTTCCATGTTAAACCCATTCTCCATTTCCTTGGATTTTTAGGGGTGGATGGGTGGGGGTGCTTACATATTAGCACAACCAGCTTAGCATAGTTTGGTGACTTTGGTAATAGTCACTATACAGCGCTATACAGCGATTTTAATGAGTTCAACTATTGCAATTTCATAAAAGTACTGAAAATTTCTATTTAAACATCCCATGATTTTAATACATGTTTAATCACATTATGCGTTTTGAAGTATTTCATAGTTTTAAATTAATAATCATTATTTCGTTTTTTAAAATGAATTTCTAACTTTTCATACTCTTTCTAGTCCTTCTCCTCAGACTCTTGCTTCATATGCTTTGAGGTTGTTCTAACTAGCTGCAATTACATGCTAATGAAACATAAGGATATTTATAAATGTGTAATTTCTAGTTCTTAACGATAAGAATTAAGTATGATAATTCATTCCTCTCAGATATTTCAAATGGAAGAAGTAGTAAGTGGCTTCTTAACGTTACCTCTTGCATTTTAGTAATATATTCTAAAAGTTACTGGAAGAATGTTATTATAACTGAGTGCAGAGACACAGCGTACACATTTGCATACAAATGAATGCATAGTAATTCCTAATTCATGGTATATACTTGGAAAGGAGGTACACAAGAAGGATTACGATTAATATTCGCGTACGAAACCCAGCTCGCATTTATTTAGTCTTAATAACATTTTTAGTAACATTTATTTAGTCTTAAATCCAGGGTGTGTCACTTCAACCGAAACAATATATTTACACTAACTTCAAGGGGACTCATACACCTTAAACCTATCATGATCTTCGAATATGTGACTGTTGCAGGAATTGGGATATTTTATTTATTTTAAAAGCAATTACTTCCAACATTTTACAGCTGACTACATAATATCGCTGCTTTGGAAAATAGTAAATTTGGTGACAATAAAGTCAACTAATAGGAATATATATACAGTCAAAAGTCGTTAATTCGGACACCCTTAATCCGGACCTCAAAGCTAAAAACTTTCTGCGCATGCGCCGCGTTGACACATGCGCATAGGCGTTTAAGCGTGCGCGTAAGACCTTTACAACGGTGCATATGCGTGTGCGCAAGCGCAGAATACATTTTCGCGTCCGCGTTTAATGTATAACGAATGGTATAAGCTAAAATTATCTAATTATCTATTTCAGTTAACGTTGATGATTGCATTGTTCCTTAATCTTCGAAATGGATCCGGCTTATTATTTTTTGCAGACTGTAAGAGCATATTTATAAAAGTAAACTTGAACTTTCGATTATGTCAAATAGAATTTCCGATGCTCGAGCTCCCAAAGGATCTACAAAACGAAAGTATGTTTCGATGTCCATCAAACAAAAGTGGAATTGCTGCAAAAAATGGATAAAGACATGAAGAAGGTGACAGAGAGGTTAGTGAAAACGAAAAAATTTTGATTGACAAGTTAGTTGGTATTCTCGGCACAGCAATTACGGGATTTGAACAGCGGAACTTTGTAACTGAACAAGAAACTATGTCTGTTTATAGAATTAAAGAGAAAGTATTATCACATGAAACGAAGCAACTTAAACAACTTACATTGAAAGAAATGTTTAATAAAGTAAACAAATAAATATTAAGCTTTTTTTTTTTTTTTTTTGTAAATTTTGATACCCTTTAGATCATAATTGTTCTTTATTTCATAAAATTACGGTTTCATATTTTTAATTTTAGAATTTCTGCATGCCATCTTACGAGATTTAAACTGTTGATCTATAATCCGGAAAAATCAATAATCCGGAATCGCCGAAGTCCCGACGAGTCCGAATTAACGACTTTTGACTGTATATGTATAACATGGAGAAAAGACATACACATCCATGAATTTAATACATTATCACCATTGTGAATGGTATCATTTCATTCGCCTGTCAGCATGAGTTAAGAACTGATGTTGTGTGATGATACATTTAAAATTTTTAGAACGTCGAGAGTTATGCAACTTCCTTAGTAACCAGATGTAGTTAGAAAAATGCTTGTTATGTTCCCTGTAGTTTGTGTACTTCAATTATGTTTTATGTGTCACACTAGCTCAGAAGTTACCAAAGCAATGTCGGATTCAGTTTTTCAGAACTAGCCTTCATTGCAAGACACACAACATAAAATATTTTAGTGCCTAATATTGGTTGATCTTGGAAACTAGTGATAGTAATTAGTAAAAGATAATGGATGTGATAATGTTGAAAACACAGCGAAAACCTCCGAGAATATTCGCAACGTGTGTAAACAAAATAGAAGATGAGTTACTTAAAGAAGTTCTTCACATAAAAGCAAAGTCAGTTTTGGAGTCTTGACTAAAGGATTAATTTAAAAGAATGCCAAAAAGCTACGTTAAAGGGTAAAAGTAATGAAAAAAAATCTTAAGATTTTGCCCCCTTTTTTGGGGGGCGGGTTGTTGCTACCTTCATTATTTTGAATCTGCTAAAACTTATTCATAATAAATTTTCAGAACTGTGTTCTAGAAATATATATCAAGAAAACCCTATCAACTGTTAAATCATCTGAAGAAATTTCTGAAAAAAAGGAAGTTCAAGTTATAGAAGATTGAATTGAATAAATCCAGTGGTCATGCGAAAGAATATTTGACCTTTAAGGGTCAGTCTTCCAAGGTTCATGAAGATGAGAGTATTCCTGAAGAGGATAAATTCCAGTATTTGCTTCAAGTAGTAATCCTAAATCCAAAAACAGCTAGAGTGGTGGAAAGTTTCCCAGCTATGGCCATGAATTATCCAAAGGTGATTGGTCAACTTCAGATACATTTCAGGTATGAAGATTTACTTGTCCAAATACATGTGTGAGATCTGTTGAGTATGGTCATGAAGAATGCTCTTTCTGCACATTCGAAGGTAGACCTGTCGCCATTGTATGAAGAATTGGAAGAAAAAATACAAGTGTTAAAGAGTCTGATGAAAAACTGAAGAAAAAAGGCAATTTTTAACCCACTCTGGAATTTCTGATGGCTTGGGAAAGAAAAAAACAAATGAATTAGAGGAATGCTCCTTAGAAAAAATAATGATTTATTAAGATTATGGCACAGCACACTAAGGCTATTAGCCTAAGGGGAGGGAAGGGAAACTCGTTCGTATACATGTGGAAAATCAAGGAAATGCCAGTGCAGTCAGCCAATCTGCCTGGAATCGAACCCAGATTGGAACTACAACTGAATTTACTGCTCGGCCACCAGTGGGTCCTGTAGAAAAATTGATGAATTATAGAAACCTAGCAGCCTAGGCTGTTCCCCACCATTCAGTTCACCCCTTAATCTTTCCTAGATAAAGGAATACCAATAAAATAAGACGGCAAGTCAAAAATCATGTACACTTTTGTCATAACTTTTCTTACATTGCACAATTTGTCTTCTGTCCTCTCATATTTTATTCATACACTGTTGTGGTAATGCTGTGAAAGTTTGATCTTAATTCTTCCATTTTTCATCTTTTTGTTGCAGATATATTGTGGCTGATACATTAGAAGTTTGCACCACAGAGGAACAACGAGTAGTGATCTGATTCCTCTGGTCAGACGGTGTCAAAGAGCATATGTAATATACAAAAATGTATGCTTTTCTATGTAACACCATAAAAATTTCTAGCTTCTTCTGCCCAAGGAATTACTAAGATAATTTAAAGTGTTCTTTTCTCACGCAATTAAAGGTTTAATTATTCTTTTTAATGCATCATCTTCAAAGAACTTTAGGCTAAAGTGCAAAATCGCCCACTTATTTGATTGGTGTTTGTTTGCTGCTTTTTACAAGAGTAGGAAGAATTGGATTTTTTTCAGGTTTCTTTGACTTTTTAAGTGAAAATAGGTCAATGTGTACATGGACAAAGTCAAGGAAGTGCACATTGCCATTTTTGTACAATTCCGGGATGTTTTTTAAGTGAAAATAGGTCGATGTGTACATGGATACCGAGTATATGCAATTCTTAAAAATGCGCCAAGCAGTGGGCGATTCTGCAGTTTGCCCGAACTTTATAGCAATACACACACAAGTAGTAAAGTAATGCAATATAAGAGTGTGGTGCAACCCTCCTGCCCGATAATAATCAACCTCATGGTTAACGCATGTTGGATTACCAAATTACAGTAATATAACTATAAACCATACACAAAGTTACTACAAAAGTTGGATAAATAATTAATCAACTTTTCGTACACACGCAAATGATAAAAAGCATGAGTTGACCACATAGCGTAACAAAAATCTATAACATATCTATTAGAGACGTAAGTAAAAAACAAAAATAACAAACAATAATATTATGAAACATGTTATTTTTTACCAAAACAATATTTTTTCTTACAGAAAAAAAAGTCTTCGTAAGAAATAAAAAGTAATATCCGTGTGTTTTACTTAATATTCCTATTATAAAGCAAATATATATACTTACAATTTTATTTTCATCGCAAATTAATTGCTCTAATTTATCTATACAATCTTCGAAAGACATTATTAAAATGATGCTAACGGTAAACGTTCACTTCCCACCCAAATGTTAACAATATACCAACTGAAAACAACACGAAAGAAATCGCGCGCAATTTATTAAAACCCAGTATTTTCGTTATAAGTATTGCCAGAAAGGAAAACGTATTACTGAAATACAACTGTCACATTAGGAAATAGTTTAAGAGCAGAAATATAACCATTTATTTATTCATTAAATTTTATATAAAAAAGGAACATAAGGAATTTTATATAAAAAAGGAAAAGCAATTAAAGACACACTGATATAATCAGAACCTTCACATTCAGAAGAAAAATGTCTTCAATATTTCACACATCGTTCGTGGTTAATATGTCTCATGTTTGCCTTTCATCTTCTCTACCTTGCTAAGCGCCATAATAATTATTATTTTTTATTTAATCTAGGCCTTGCATGAAATTATATTTCTCTCAAACAAATTCCTCAAGGATCAAGGAAGTTAATTTACGGAGTGCGCTAGGCTAGGCCTTTAAGGGGGATTGTTGACAAATGTCTTCCTATTCTTTTAACATTAGCAAATTTATAAACACAGTATCACATGAAAAAAGCTCAGTGAAGTAATGAAAAAGTCTGCTGCTACATAGAATACATCTTCAAAATTCTGCTACAGTAAAAAAAAGGGCATGCTTTATCCTATTATTAATAAATATTTGCCGAATATCACTTTTGTTTTTTTAACGTTTTTTTCGATTAGTATCAATATTGAAAAATAGAGGGCACCACTACTCCATACGGACTGATTGTCAATTTCTATTTTGGGGAACATTTAATTTTTTCTGCATTAAAATATAATTTTTTTACTTCAGGGAACGAAGTAACATTCACCATCATACAATTCATTCATTAAAATGTCATTCTTGCGCAGAAAAATATGCATGTACATCAATTTTGTCTAAAACTTAGCAAACCTAAAACGTAATTGCATCTTTTTCACGCCATTTGTTGTCGATCGTCTCCAGCTTTGCGTCTGCAGAGCTGAACAGGTTTCACTAATGTACCCTCTATTTTTGCCCTCTCCCCCAAGCAATTTAGGTCGAAACATTGAATGCTTTCAATAGCCATTTGCAGAATCAGTGGAAATGTTTACTTCCTAGGTCCTTCAGCTAACGAGTCACTCATTGAACGAAAAATTTCTCAAGCGCAATGTTTGTCTGCTAAATATAATTCAAATAATAAATTATTTTACTAATACCATTAATAAATAAATATTCATCTCAGGGTTATGAGAGAACGTCGAAAAAATCATTCGATATTTTTTTTATGAAGCGTTAAGATTACCTTTAAAATTCAGTTACCAAGTTGAAATCATTCTACATAAAAACTTGAATGCTGAACTGATATTTATTTTCGGGTAATTTATAGAACTTAATCATAGAAACTGGAGGCCTTCAAATTATACGTATATTTTCCGAATAATCTCGTCATATATTAGGTCAGCACTTCACACTGAATACGTTTGAAATTAAGCATAACTGAAACGCTTTTTAAAAATAGTCTCCAGATATTAGGGATAGTGTGATATACGTTAAATTTTTGCCTCTTCAATAATTCTTATAATATGGCGCTTCTTGTTGAATATTTCAGTATTATTTCGTGCATCACATAGTACAAGTTATCTCATTGCGGAAAGGATGGCATAATTTGATGGAAATTTAAAAGGATAGAAAATTAATGGAAATTTCTAAGAATAAATCGCAAAATTCTGCGAATATTTCGCAGCCGACGAATTTCACTTACACTTCCAAAGAACTTGTCAGATAATGACGCATTATGTTAAATTTATTTTCAAACAGCCAAGCTTTGTCAGTACTAACAGAACCGTTATAAGCGATCAAGATCTTGATTTAAGCTGATAGCACAATTTAATAAGTTTACGTCACATCAATAAGTTACGTCACCTTTTTATTTGATCATGGTTGATTGGTTATCATGGTTGATTTGGTTTATTTATTTAATTATAGAAAAGCACACAAGAGCTATTGCATAAATGGAAAGATGCCTTCCTTGAGAACCGCTACGAACGGCAGAGCGGTAAAGTCACTGAACACTGGTAGCTCGGTCCGAGGATCGAATCCCACGAACAAAGCGGCTGCACGAGCGTTTTCATGGTTTTCCCAAGTGTAACTTGTACACGAGCCAGTTTCCCTTTGAAAGTCCTCCACGAAGGCATCGCTTCCCTTAGGCAGATAACTCTCGAAGCTTTGACGTAATTACGTAAACCAAACCAAACCTTAGTTAAGAACTTTTTAAGTGAAACTGGCTTGTACCCATGCTAGAATCACGAAATAATCCATTTCAACCAGCCCGTTCGTTGCTATTCGAGCCCTTCGAACTACCAGTGTTCAATGGTAGCAGCTCCTCACCGGTACCGCTCGGCCGTCGGTGAGCTAGTCTGCTGTTATGTAACGTGGTTAAATTCGAAAATGGATTGTTCAAAATGTCAGCAAATATTAAAAGCCTTTCGAAATTTCCATAGAAATCTACAGAAAATTCGTGATTTTTTTTAATGGTGTAAAATTACTAAAAATCCTTAAATTTTGCAGAAATTCCTGCTGTGATAAAGTAGGTCTTGTGGAAGAATTCAAACAATGAGTAATAACTTTACTTTAGAGGCATTTTTTCAATTTTGCCAGATCTTTGAATCATCGAATATTAATTAATGTTAAAGCAGATGAAAGATCTTTATCTAGGTAAGTATACGTACCTAAATTTCAATGACCATTTAAACTTCTCACTGTACATATTAGATCAGGGATGGGTAAACTTTTTCGGTCGCGGGCCAAAGATCGAAAAAGAAAAAAAAAATTTGAAGGGCCAAGATAAATTTTTCTAAAATTTTAAAAACAATATACAAAGTACTACAACTTAAATATGTTCATGAGATGAATGAAATTGCCATTTCATTTTAAAAAGTTCCTCATATTGAGGTTCGAAAGGAGATGTACTAATTCTAAGAACGAGGCTAAAATGCTCGTCGGTCAGTCTACTTCTGAAATAATTCTTTCTAATTTCACAGTCGAAAACACTTGTTCACATGTATAAGATGAAGAAAAACCTAGCACTGATTTTCTGGGGATGAGATAATATAGATTTTGGAAACTTATTTTCGATATGCAAAACTCTAACTTTGGCAACTTTGGCTCAGTTAGAAACAACCGCTCGAGATGATTGTTAGACTGTAACTCCATTTATTCCAGCTGA